GGGGGGGGAGCGAGCAAACGGAAAACAAACAAAATATTCAGACCGCGAGTGTTTACGCGCACGTTCGTGATTTATTACCGTTTATACGCGAGTGTGATTTTTGGTTGTTGTTATTAAAAAAACGAAATCGGACGGCACACTACGGGCGACAATATCAAAATAATAATGTGTATAATAAAAACTTGGGCGGGCGTCGGCGGACGAACGTTCTTAAATATATTAAACGCAGACAAACGAAGCAATACGCCTACGCCGTCGTATTTTTTTTAATTTTCTTTTGCCTCATTTCGTTTGCCAGTCCGACTTGGAAATACGATAAACCCTGCAACCGTTCGGGGCCTCCGCCGCAGTGCGCGGAAAACAATACGACGGACTACAATGGTAATATAATATTGTACTTTTGCGACGGCGGCGGTTAATGTCATTAACGATTGTTAAATTTTTTATATACCTCATCCCTTTATATATATATATATATTTGTGCGCGTCGTGTGTGATTAACGAAAACGTTTCGTACACTCGCCGCGGGGTCAATCGAAGATTTGTAGACCTCACGAAATCGACGAAAGACATATATGTATTATATTATTATAACGCACGTCGCACACGCAACCGTTTTAGGACACGACACAACACGACCGAGTGCGTTAACTTCTGTTGGGAGTATCTGTATAGCAGTGACTACCATGCATCATGTTCTTCACGAATACGCACATCATCTTTACACATTATAAATAAATACATTATCTATATAGAGACAGAGAGAGATCCGAACTGTATATTATGGACAATGCTATACGGTGAATCATCATGAATACAATTTTTCTCGGTATCGGTTCAATATGCTATCTACCAGTGTTTTTTTTTTTTTGTTCGGTAAGACATTATATTTTATTATATTATTATGTGCTCCTACATTATACCCATTATTATACAATTATAAATGCATTTAAAGGAAACAATAATAATTACTCGTAGCTGAGTGATCGCTTTTGAAATAAATTTATATATAATAATTCTTTATAATAAATATGACGAAAACGTTATAGAATATAAATAAAACTAAATATTTTTATTGGTTTGCTGGTTTTGGGTATTATACGTCATAATAATTAGCTTCGTAATATAAGCCCCGTTGCTCCGAAAAAATTGTTTATGTTCTGGATTAAGAAATGCCACAGCACTGCTAACCAAAATAATTCAACATCTTTGTTTAATAACGAATTTTTCTTTGTTTCCAAAAAGATTTTATTTTTATTTTGAGTATTCGATTTAAGGATCAAAGTCAAGTAGGTAATATGATACGTATAATATTCACCTATATATAGCGTAAATCTTGATCACACTCCGTTCCGGATAACTGCAATAAAAATAGCACTATCTTTTTTATATCAACTATACCCATAAATATTATACTGTTATACGAATATTTAATATCGAAGTTGTAAAACATTACAAATTATAACGCGAGCCAAAAATTGTTGGTCACCATTATATTCTACGATTACCGGCTGGACAGATAAAATACCGACTAAAAATACATAAACGCTGAAAACTACAGTTAATTAAAACGTCATCCAATGTGTGTGCGATGCAAATGGCATTTAGGGAAGATGGAATAATTTTCAAATTGTCTGCAAACGGTTTAAAGTGAAGTTTGGTCCACAAATTACAATTGATTTCCTAAATCCTAAGTGAAAAACTTAAGTTGGCTTGCAAATCAATTATCTGAGTTCGTTAACTGTGTAATACTTTTTAATTTTTACGAATTCTTCAATTTTTTGTGACTATAATATTCGTGTTCCCCGCCCCATTAATTTACTGTTACATTTGATTAATTTTCTCTCAGATTTAGCAGTAAATTAAGGTGGGCGATGGGCAAACTTAATTATGAAACAATATACATTATGCTGATAAGTCGGACCCACATTAATGTTTTAGTGTTACAAAAACATTTTATACTGTTATTAAGCGTAAAACAGTGGAAGTGGAAAAAAATAAAAAAAATACAAACACGCCATACCGCAGTTACACATTTCACGTGAAAACAGTACAATATAATACTATATAACATAATAGGCGATGTATAATAATATTATTATAGATTGACTATTGATAAAGGAACGAGCGTGAGCGATGGGGACCTAAGATATTAAATATAACGACCGCGCGTAATACAGTATTTTGCGCATATCGTGTTGAACAGTCGCGAACGGACACACACACACCCACCCACACACACACACACACACACACACACACACACACAATTAATGGTTGAACTAAAACACGATACACATTATATCGTATAGGTATTGCGCGGAGCACAGCAAGAAAATATTGAACTGAAATATGTGCACGTCGTGTTTGCGTATAAACTGTGCACATACGCTCATAAATATTGATCTGTTTACGTACGTATCATACTGTATATTATGCACGTGTGAGCGTGTGTGTGTGTGTGTACAATATACGACTGAACGGAATTCGAACAGAACCGATTTAAGAAAACATTTCGTATACATATTATTATTATTATTATTTCACGCGGCGGCACTTGAAGAAAAATACGGTGTGAATAACACGTTATAGTGTTTTTTCGATTATTTTATGCACACGCATTACAAACGGCTACCCATATAATAATACGATAAACCGCCGTCGAAAATTATTATTGTTATCGTTATTATTAGGCGGCGGTGGTGTATAAAAACATTATGATATTATTATGGTTCGATGTTGTATATTATTATGTGTTCAGCGAACGTACCTACCTATTCATTTATTTCGTTTTGACGACGAACAAAATTGTTTCCGATCGATTTATCATTTTCTCGAATTAAGGAACGTTTTTTTTCCCTCTCCGAAAATTACCGCCAAAGAGAATTCAAATTAATCCCGCGCCGGTAATGATCCCGTGTAAATCCTTGGGATTATATTTTCCAAGCAGCCGATCAATTTTTTTTTTTCATTTAGAAAAAAGCCAAGTTAAGATTTTTTTCTTTAGGATCACGGATCAACTTTAACGAGTATTTCGGATAATTTAAAATACCACGCTATTATGCAGGGGTGGGGGGGGGCATAATATTTGAAAACGTAGGTATTAACTCTACATATATACCTACCTAATCATTATTCAAAATAATAAAACGCGGTTATTTATACGATGATGACAGAAAACCGCATTTCCCACGGCTGCGCATACTGAATGAATTGATTACGTTTTGTTATTTAAAGTTCCTATTTTGACAAAGTTATAGGCACAGCAGTACAGCACATTAATCCTAACCGAATTAAGTCGGAGTGGAACTGTAAAATCTATTAAATTAATTGCCTCCGGTTCTCGTAGAATCTTACATAATCCTTTCGGGTAAAATGGAGCACATATATTTGTTTTTATTTTTGTAGCAGGTATATAGTTATATATGTACATTGTACAACTAACTATAATCCCATTCAATTCATCTCACTAGCAACTCACCTATCGTAGGCCGAATGGCGTTTTAAAAATCGTTACCACGAAAAGGTTATTTCTGCTTTAAATATATTTGAATTTAAATTTAAATATGCACTCATCGTGTGTATTGCGAATATTTCTGTGGAGGATCTGTTTTATTCCGAGCCCATCATTATATATTTAATATTACTATATTATAGGTATAGGCAGGGTCCAAAATAATAACGTCCAATTTATTTAACTTTCAGACGTTAACATCAAACGCGGATAATATATAGTAGTTTCATACATCATCATATTACCTAGGTAGGCACCTGACAAAAACGGACCATGTCACTGATACGCAATTAGGTAGCGATGACTCGTTTTACCGATGAATATACCTATATATATATATATATATATATAAGGGTACCTAATAGGTTTTATCGACGGTCGCTGTTGTTTTAGTGGTTTCGTTCACACACGATTTTCATAACTTTCCACGCAGTAAACGAAATTCGAACTCGACGACAGCTCATATATAATGGACAACGGAGGTTCGTGTCGGCAAAATCGACTTTTATATTTCGTGTAATTACGTATGACGCGTCCGTTCATGATATATATTATTATTATTATGAGCGTGACAGTGGCGCCGGACCCTAAACGGCCGACGGGATTTTAAAACGCATCTTCGGTGCCGCCGCTTGTTTTTCTCCAAATGCGAAATATAATAATCGATTGACCACGACGGCACCATAATAGCGAAGTACAAAGAAAATAGGATTTCATTCTTTAAGAGGATCGCCGTCCATTAAATATGAGGGGAAAAAAACGAAGAAAAGGAACGCCTCTCGGAAATTAGGTTCGCTTACAGTGCGTTTTTAGTCGGTATAAGAAGGATTTTTGGAATCACGAAGGTACCGGAGCGCAGTTGTAGGTACGCAGCACACCACAATACATACAATATTAATAATAATATTAATATGATATATAATCATAAAATAACGATTTACACATAATGTAAGAGACGATGCATTAGTAAAAATAAGCACGTGTACACACAAAGATACGTATTTCACTCTTTGTTAGCAGTACGATCATCGTTGGGTAATTTTGTCGAAATTTCGTAAGTACATAAAAGGTTAGAGTAAATCGCCATGTATTTCCTAGGAAATCCAAAGAACGATCCAGCAAATACAATCCGGATACAATAATAATATATATTAGTAAACTTCGACGAATCGTTTCGGATGTATTATAATAGCGGAACCCTATTTTTCTTTTAGCTACGCTTATCTACCTGTAAATATTTTACTGCAGTCAATTTAAATAAATATATGTATCTGTTGGTCTTACTATACATTATATTGTTATTGATTCAAACGAGGAAAAAATACGTAACACAAATGGGGAAAAAACACACACAAAGGGTCGGGTCGATACGATTAATATTATCGTTGTTACATCATATTGATATAATACATAACTCTGCT